TTATGCCAATTGATGTAAATATTCCCCATATTTTCTATGTAGTGATCTTGCATAACTTGTTAGATTTGTTCCTTGGTATTTGGTATTTTTTATGGTATTGTAAATAGTATTTTTAGAGTAGTAGTTTTAAACTGTTAACAAATATATAATCAATATTTATTCTTATATTACTCTTATGTTTTATTAATTGTATTTAGGTTCTTTTGAACTGAACAGACATATCTCAGAGATATTGCAGGTTTGGTTCTAGACCACCTTTTAAGGTGACTTTCGGTATTAAAGCCAGTCCAGGAATTGTTTTGTTTCTCAGTGCATGTGAAAGTTATGTTTACACTGTTCTCTAGTCTACTAAGTGGGTGCTAGCATTATGAGAAAGTTTGAAATATTGTGAGAATTACCAAATGTCACACAGAGACATTTGTTAGAAAAATGGCACCAATGGACTTGCTTGATGTAGTGTTGCCACAAATATTCAGTTTGTTAAAAATAAAACCGTTATCTGCGAAGTACAACAAAGTAGAGCCCAACAATAAGAGGTATGTCTATGTATATGATTGTCTGTCAATATATCATCTTCAAATGATGGTTATATTTATCCTTTCAAATACTGTGTTTTATTTTCCTGCCTGACTGTGCTGTCTGGGACATCCTGTACAAGGGTTAGAAGTGGCATCTTCCCGGCCTAACGTTTGACCACTACATGTGTTTGGTGGAGAGTTTCCGTAAATATTCATTATTAAGAGACAATGAAACTCAACAGGGGCAGAGTTCTACCTTGTACAATAGGGTTGCTATGAATTGGCATCAGCTCAGTGGCAGTGAGTGTGGCGTTTTGAGTTACTCATTAAAAGCTCCCTTTTCTCAGTTTGAATTGATCATAAATGGATGTCAAATTCTATCAGTACTTTCTCTGCATCAGTTGAGATGTTCATATAATTGTTAATTCTTTGTTAAAAATGTGGAGAATCACACTGAATCATTTTTCAAATATTAGACCAACTCTGAATTTCTGATACAAATGACATCCTTTTATAGATTGCCAAGTTTGATTCATGATGCTCATGTTAAGACTTTTTTACCTCTCATGTTCATGAATGAGAAAAACCTGTAACCCTTTCACAGGTTTCGTATTAGGTTTATGCTGGCCACTGAGCATGGGGTTTAGTTATGCTCCACAAGTTTAAATACGTAGTATTTTCATTGTCATTCATTTCAGAATACTTTCCAATTTCCACTTTGATTTTTTCTTTGACTCGCGTGCATTTTAAAAGTATATTTCTTAATTTATAAAACTCAGGGTTTAAGAGTTATTAAGCTGTCATTTATTTCAAGTTAATTGCATTTTGGTCAGAGAACTAACTAAAAGAACTGAATTATGACTTCACTTCTTATAAATGTGTTGGCATTTGCTCTGTTGCCCAGTAAAATGGTCATTTTTGTAAATGTCTCACGTTTTTTACTATTTATTTATTTATTTATAATCATTTTATTGGAGGCTCATACAGCTCTTATAATCCATATATATATCCATTGTATCAAGCACATTTGTACATTTGTTGCCATCCTCATTTTCAAAACATTTTCTTCCTTCTTCAGCCCTTGGTATCAGTTCCTCATTTCCTTCCTCCCTCCCCTCCCCTCCCTTCCTCACCATTGATAATTTATAAATTGTTATTATTTTTTCATGTCTTACTCTGACCAATGTCTCCCTTCACCCATTTTTCTGTTATCCGTCCCCCAGGGAGGGGGTTATATGTAGATCGTTGTGACTGATTCCTCCTTTCTCCCCGCACCTTCTCCTTACCATCCTGGTATTTCTAATCTCATTATTGGTCCTGAGGGGTTTATCTGTCTTGGATTTCCTGTGTTTCCAGCTCTTATCTGTACTTGTGTACATGCTCTGGTCTAGTTGAATTTGTAAAGTAGATTGGGATCATGATAGTGGGGGGGTCTTGTGTTCTTTTAAAGAAGGTCTAGGTAGCAATTATTAGGTATAGTCTTGTATATATGTCGATTTTGTTGTTTAACTGTGTGGCATAGCTTCTATATTCTTACTGATTTTGTGCCTAAGAGATGTGTAAAACATCCCCCACTAGAATTGTGGGTTTGCTGGTCCAATTTTACTATTACTTGTTTGTTGAGAATATACTCAGCATATATAATTCCATGACACTGATTATGTTCTTTGAGTTTGGGAACCACTCTTACCCTCCTTTCTGAACTGTTCCGTTCCATTTACATACACTCCTTTGCCTCCTAGGTTTTCTGTCTAACCTTCTAAGTCAATGGTTCTCAACCTTCCTAATGTTGCAACCCTTTAATACAGTTCCTCATGTAGTGGTGACGTCCCAACCATAAAATTATTTTCGTTGCTACGTCATAACTAAGTTTGCTACTGTTATGAATTGGGCAACCCCTGTGAAAGGGTCATTGACCCCCAAAGGGCTTGCGACCCACAGGTTGAGAACTGCTGTTCTAAGTTGTTATTTTGATTTCATGGATCTTTCTTAAAAGTGCACAGTGCTTGAGGCAGACATTCTTTACTAGTTAACTGTTGTTTGGTTTAAAGAAGACACAAGGGGATCTTTCTTAGTTTAAATCTTTAATTTTAAAAGATTATTTCAGGGCGGTCATTTCTGGGACTCATCCAGCCTCAATGGCTCCAGAAATCTGGTGCCCCCATGAATTTGAAATTCTATTCTGCATTTTCCCCCTTTGATTAGGATTCTTCATTGAAATCTTTGATCAAAATGTTCAGTAAAATATTAGCCTGGCACCATGCCATCCAGTTCTTCTGTTCTCATGGCAAAGTAGATAGTTAGCTACGTACTCCATTTCCCGTCTTACTCCTGGTTCTCCTTCTTCCTCTCTTGCTCCAGGGAAATAGAAACCAATTGCTGTGCTTGGATGGCTGTTTGCAAGCTTTAAGACTGGGCATTGCTCAGCAAACTAGGAGGTAAAACACAAGTTAACTAAACACATTATTGGACAGTTAATTGGTATGTCCCTAAACCTCCCAAACAAGGAAGCACGGCCCATGAGCTGTCTGATTATACATAAGCCTCCCCAGCAACTCTTTTTTTGTTGTGGTGAATATATCTGTCACATAATTTTCGTTAATGCAGACTTTTACTGGTGTACAATTTACTGCCAGCAATTACATCAATCGGCTGTGCAACCCGAATTTTCCATCAATATAAACCAAAATTCAGTGTACCATAACTAACAATCCCTTTTATTTTTGTCTCTCCCCGCCCGCCCCCCAATATACATTGGTTTCTTCATTTGCCTGCTCTTAACCTTCATATAAGTGAGGTCACATAATATTTTATGAATCACTTATTTTACCCAGCTATTGAATACAGTTCATAAAATATAACATTCATTCATTTAAATGGACATAAATAATTTTTATAAAGTTGATAGGTAGCCATTACTACAATCCTACTTTTAGATTATGCCCATAATTTATTTTTTCAAACACCTTTATTGAGATACAATTTACATAATACACAATTTCCCATTGGTTTTTACTATATACCCTGTGTTAGGCATTCATCACCAGAATCAATTTTTAGAACATTTTATTACTCTTAAAAGAAATCCCATACTGATTGAATTGTTGCTATTTCCCCCCCCTGCCCATTTCCTGGCAATCACTAATCCTCTTTCTTTCTTGCTTACTTTGCCTATACTGGACTTTTCCTACTCATGGAATCATGAAATATTTGGCCTTTTGTGACCGACTGTTCGTTTAGCACAGTGGCTTTCGAGTTTTGTCCACACTGTGGCATGTTTCAGTACTTCCTCCTCTATGGCCAAGTGCTGTCTCTCCACTTCTCAGTTGATGTGTTCTTCTTTGCGCTATTAGAATGATGCCCCTGTAAACATGTGTGCACACGTTATTGTAGGGATGCATTTTCATTTCTCGGAGATACATATATCATGGTAATTTTATGCCTCATTGTTTTATGAACTGCCAGTTTTACAAATTGGCTGCACTTTATGCACTCCTCTCCAAAAAACAAACAAACAAACAAACAAACACAACGCTGAGCACATCATTTTTATTCCTATTGCCATGTGTGAGAATTTTCCACATTCTGGCCTACACTTTTTACTATCTGACTTCTTGGTACTAGTAGTCCTAATAGGGATGAAGTAGCATCTCATTATGGTTTCATTTTTATATTCCTGATGACTAATGATGGTTTTCATTTGCATATTCATGATAACTAATGATGTTTGGCATCAGGTACTTATTGACCATTTTGTGTATCTAACTTGGGGAAATGACTATATCTTTGTCTATTTTTAAATTGCTTGCCTTTTTAATTTTTATTATTACTTTTGTCTTTTTAATTATTGAATTGTTAGGGAGAGGAGCCCTGGTGGCGTAGTGGTTACGAGTTGGGCTACTAACTGCAAGGTCAGCAGTTCAAGACCACCAGCTGCTCCAAGGGAGAAAGATGGAACTTTCTACTCATAAACAGTTTTTGTCTTATAGGGTTGTTATGGGTTGGCATCGACTCGATGGCAGTGAGTTTGGTTTGGTTAAAGTTTAGGTTTGGAGGGGTACCTAACCACTTAGAAATAGGAGAGGGCAAGGCCAATCTGGGAAGACTCTTGGTTCTTTATCTTTTGTTTTGAAGGTGAAGAAGGAACTTTCAGGTAGAGGAAACAGGAGGGGTATTTTAGGCAGGTAGAAGAACACGTACAGAATAGCACGAGGGAGAAAGAACATGGACTTCAGGAGCCTAGAATGTGCATCTGAAAGGCGATGCTGGAAAGGAAAGTAGATGACAGACTACAAGGGGCATTTTATCGCAAGGCAAGGAGATGGCTTGTAGATTACATAGGCTGTTTGGGACGTTTCCAGAAAGGCATTTGACATTTTTGGCCTACGTGAGTTTGGAGGCAACTGTTCTCCTTTACCTTATCTGCCAGTAGTTCTTTCTTCACCAGTAAAATGTTTCTCTCCCACTTTTTTTTTTTAACAGTTCACTGAAACTTTTTTGGCGGAGAGAGACAAACAATCCAAATGGAGTGGAATTCCCCAGCTGCTCCTTAAGTTGTATGCAACCAGCCACCTCCACAGTGACTTCGTTGAGTGCCAAAACATCCTCAAGGTGAGTCCTTAGGCTCTTGGGGGCACTGGGTTCTGGACTTCCAAGTGACATAAGCTGTCTGCTTTTGAAAATGGCCTCTATTATGTAAGCTGTAGAAACTTTGGGAAGTATTGAAGTGCAAAGATGAAGATAAAAATGGCCTCAACCCAACCATCCTTAGGTAATCATTATCCAGTTCCTGTGTGTGTCCTGGTCTTTATACTCTGACCGTGTGGCGGTGCTTGCGTTATTTGGGACAGCACAGCCAGGTCCTGGATTGATTTGAATGACATTCTTTTTTCTTCAAAATTTTTGATGACATTCTTTTTGAACAGTTTAAAGGATCTCCTGTTGTTGAAGGGTTATGGGAAGGGCCTTGTTGTTGATAATTATGACTATTATAAGAAGACTGAAGGGAGGGAGGTTAAATTACTATCTAGATGGTAGGACAAGTGTTAGCGGGGGTGAAGGAGAAGGCAATATATAGTAGGAGAGAGGTCAGCAGAAAATGATAGAGGCAGGAGAAGACACGAGGAGGAGGCCAAAGAGGTAAATACTGCTATACACACAGCCCTGCAGTAAGGGGATCCACAAGTAGATGCATGAATAGATACATACACAGGCTGAATGAGTATATGTAAAAGAGAGTGGGTGTATCCCCCTACCACACACACACACAAATATATAGATATAGATAGATAGAGAATATGTATATAATAATTCTATTTGTCTTTGCTGCAAATATATCCATGAATATGGGAGAGCATTCAGGGAACAAAGTTAAGAAAATTTAGACATAACCAAACACCTTGAGGAAATGAATCTCTGGGCCTGGAGGCCTGGACCATGGTCTCCGAGAACAGTGAGGTCAGTCAGCATAACACAGTCCACACACAGTGTTCTACATCCTGCTTTGGTGTGAAGTGGCACCTGGGGTCCTAAAAGCTCATGAGCAGCCATCTAAGGGGCAATAATCGGTCTCTTTCTGTTCAGAGGAAAGCAGGCTGGTGAAAATTGAAGAGACATGTAAGTAATTCACTGGACTAGTGGACCACGAGAATATGATTCTCCACAATCCTGAGACCAGAAGTACTAGATGGTGCCCAACTACCACCCCTGAACCAACTCTGAAAGAGGGACCACATTAAAAGGTCCTGGATAGAGTGGAAGAAAAATGTGAGGTAAAAAAAATAAAATAATTTAAAAGACCCGGCTTACTGGTCAGATGGAGACTCATTGGACCCCCAAGATTTTATGGCCCTTAGTCGTCCTTCAGGTCTGAAATTAAACTCATCTCCATGGCTCAATGTTCAGTCAAACAATAGGGCCAAAGAGTAAGAGGAACTGTAACTCCAGTGAGCCATACACACCTTAAAATAATGAACCATTTAGGTTCAAAGGGGTAGCCTTTGTCTAAGGACAAGGTTCAAAAGGGTTGGGTAAGGAGGAGGAATGGGAATCAAACTCAGGGAGGATGTAGGATAAGTGATATTTCACTGAGGATCACAATCAATGACATGAAACAAAATGCATATGAGCTGATGAATGAAAACCTGATGTACTCTGTAAGCCGTGATCTAATTCACAATGAGATTAGAAAAGAAGATTGAAAGGGCCTGTCTTTGATGATTGAGAGAGAAGTGGAAATGCCTCTCTCCCTTGAGTGCATATCAGAATCATCAGGAAGGCTTATTAAAACAGTGCTGGACCCACCCCCGAATTTCAAATTCTGTAAGTCTGGGTTACCCTATTCAAACTTCAGGGTAGAGTGGCCTCAAATTTGAATTTAGAGAGCCAACGAGCTGAAATGTAAACCCATGCTAGTTCTATATGGAACTTGGAAAGGTTTGTGGGACTACCCCATTATCTTTTCATTCCGTTTTTTAAGCGCCCCTACCCCCCTCGTGTATTTGGTCAAAATGAAACTGAATGATAATATGTTTTTCAGAAGTGACGTTTTGATTATTGTATCACACAGTAATTCTTTCTACAACATCCAAACCCAACCCACAGCCATCGAGTCAGTTCTGACACCGCGCTCCCTGTTGAGCTCCGCAGAGCTGCGCCCGGGGTTCTGGAGACGGTGGCAAGCACTCATTAATGTGGCCTTTCTTTTTTTTTTTTTTTTTTTAACATTTTATTAGGGGCTCATACAACTGTTATCCCAATCCATACACACATCAATTGTGTAAAGCGCATTTGTACATCGTTTCTCAAAACATTTTCTCTCCATTTAAACCCCCGACATTAGGTCCTCATTTTCCCCCTCCCTCCCCGCTCCCCTCTCCCACATGAGCCCTTGATAGTTTATAAATGGGTATTTTGTCATATCTTGCCCTGTCCGACGTCTCCCTTCATCCACTTTTTGGTTGTCTGTCCCCCAGGGAGGAGGCCACACACAGTTCCATGTAATCTGTTCCCTCTTTCCTACCCATTCTCCCTTTACCCTCCCTGCATTAATGTGGCCTTTCCTTCGCTTTTAAGAAGAGTCATTTTTGTATTCTTGTTCCCCCCACCCACTCATTATTACTGGGATAGAAATAATTACAGCCTCTTACACTTGGTTAAAAATACTCTGTAAAGAACGATACATTATATCATTTAATTCCTGCAAAACCTCCGTGGAGACTGGAGGAAGAAGGAGGTGAACATTTGTGAGTTCTTGCCACGGGATCATGTTTTATTCACCCAGCAGATACTTATTTGAAGCTTTCTGAGCACCAGGCCGATTTAATTTTAAGGTAACTCAATGAAGTAATTGACTATTTCTGTGTATCAGGCAAGAATATTTTGATTGCAGGTGACAGAAACTCAGTCTAGCTTAAGCAAAGAAACCTCTTTGGTGACTCACATAACTGGAAAGCACAGGTGTGAATTCAGGGCCTGATCAGAGTAGACCGTCTTACCTCTTTTCTTGACATCGGTGTGTGGCCTCCTATTCCTCCATGTGATTACACCTAGAAGGTGACATGTCTGCAAGATGTACCAGCCACAGGATGGGGGGGGGAGGGGGGGCAGTGAGAGCCTGTTGACCTGCCCCTGCGGTTGGGCTTGAGTTGCTGTTTGGCAGCCCCAGCAGAACGGTATGGAAATAGGAACGGGCTCATCTCCAAAGAAGTAAATAAGGTGGTGGTTACTTGAAGACGAGAGCTGAAGAGATGCCTGGCTGGCAAAATCTGGTATCTTCTACATTCCTCTTTTCATTCGAGGAGATGGAATCTTAGCAGTACCCAACCCCAAGCCTATGGCGGCTCTCCGTTGAGCCCACATTGTCTTAGTGCAGAGTGCAGGCTTGTGGTGTCTGCTGCCAGCAATCTGGTTTTAGAGATGAGAAAAATGAGACCCAGAGGAAGTGGCTCAGTCTTTTCTATAAGTGGTCTGTAGTTGATTCTATCACTTGGGGTAAGTAGCTTTTATTTTCTTATTTTGTTTTTTAGACCTGTAAAATGGGTAAAATTGTGTCTACTTTATTGAATTATTTCAAGGATTAAATGGGCTAAAGTATAAAAGCCAAGGACCTAGGGCATAGCAGGCTTTCTTATGAAGAGAGAGAGCCCTACTCTTTATCCACAAAGTATGGTCAGTGTCACCACCACTTGGGAACTTGTTAGAAATATACCTTCTCAGGCCTGGTCCCAACCTACTGAGTCAGGATCTCTCGGAGCAGGGTGCAGCAGTCTTGATCTGAGCACACCTGTCAGGTTAGTTTGATGGTCATCAAAATTTGAGAATCACTGCTCCAGCCCACTGCTTCATCTTCCCTCAGAGGCTTCTGGTGAGAAACATGGGTGGTGGGGGTGGGAATCTGGAACAGCTTTTTCTTTTGGAGGTATTGCTATAAAACTAATCACCCCCAAACTTAGTAACTTTAATTACCCACCGTGGGTTGATCAGATGGTTCTGCCATTTTGGTCTTGGTTGGGTATGAAACTAAATGCTTCTCTGTATACTTTTTCCCCCGACTAGGACATATCTCCTCTGCTCTCCATGGAGGCCATGGCATTTGTCACTGAAGAGAGAAAACTTACTCAAGAAACCACTTATCCAAACACGTATATTTTTGACTTGTTTGGAGGTGTTGATGTAAGTAGTTGCTTATTCCTGGTACTATTACTGTTACTACTTCGTGGTTGAGAATTTTGAACTCAGAATTTTTAGCACACACTTTTCTTATCTCAGTGGCATTCACCCGTGGGAAAGCAGCATATTCTAGAAGAATTAATGTATTTGAACTCAGATAGCAGTGGTCTTTCCCATTGTCTCCACCTCAGAGCAGCTGTGATGATTTGTTACTTGTGTGTCCTTCAAGACACGTTCTGTGTGGGTGCATGTGTTCGCGTGTGTTTGAGTTAAACCCTCACCCCACCACCTTAGGTTTTCCTTCTCCCCACAGAGTGGCACAACCGTTTCATGGTTGCATGGCTCTGTGGCGTGCTTTTTCCATGACTGCATCGTTAGTTTGGAGATGGTGTCATTTCAGTACATGTAAATTGACCTCATTATTTTAAATAGCTTTGTAGTCTTACTTGGTGTGATTATACGTTGCTTTATCTATCCAGGCCTCAGTTGATGGGCATTTTTTTCTTACACATTTGAATTATAAACAATGCTGCGGTCAGAGCTTCATTACATTTGTGTACAAACAGGATGAAAGCTTATGTGTCTTTTATTGTATATGAGCTTGCCATTTTTATATGCCTAAGAGATTTTATTAACTTAGATCTGCAACAACAAAGTATGTGTCTGTTTACCTTCACCATCACCAACTTAGTATGTATATGTGTATGTGCTTGGGGACTTTATTATTGAAATATAGCTTACATACTGAAAAGTACACTAGTAATTACTTCAAAATATACCTTTGTTAATACCACTCAAAAATTTTTCAAAAAGCATTACTAGTGCCCCAAATCCCCTTTCACTGAACACTGTGCTTTTAGAATGTTTATTTCTCATGTACTGACCAGATAGGTGATGTAGTGGGGCAGTGAAAAGGAGGCCCTAGGTAACATAGGTTGACACAATAGCTGCAGCAAGAGCTCAAACGTATGAACAACTGTGAGGATGGCACATAGCCAAGTGGTGTTGCGTTGTGCTGGACATGGGGCCACTACGAATTGGAACCAACTCCATGGTACCTAACAGATAGGAAAAAGACGGTATTTTTTGTACTTTAAAAATAAACTTACGGGGAACTGATTACAAGGATCTACAGGTGACCTCTTCCCTGGGGGACGGACAACAGAAAAGTGAGTGAAGGGAGACGTCGGACAGGGCAAGATATGACGAAACAATAATTTATAAATTATCAAGGGTTCCTGAGGGGCAGGGGGACTGGGGAGGAAGGGGAAAAAAATGAAGACCTGATGCTGGGGGCTTAAGTGGAGAGCAAATGTTTTGTGAATGATGAGGGCAATGAATGTACAAATGTGCTTTACACAATTGATGTATGTATGGATTGTGATGAGTTGTATGAGCCCCTAATAAAATGATTTAAAATATATATATATACTTCCATCTGAGAGTGAATATTGTATGTATTTATAAGTAATTTACTTTTCTACCAATTTTCTGTTACTGTCTTGCTTTTTGTTTCTTTTATTTTTTCTGTTTGGTTATTGGGCCTGTTTATGCTGGCTTGTAAACACTCTTAATTTTCTGAGGTCTTTTGTCATTTCCCCCCTCGTTTGTCAGTTGTACTTTGAGTTTGTTTATATTGTTTTTAAATTTAGAAATGTTTATTTCTTAGGTTGTCAGATTGATCAAGTCTTGCTTTTGTGGATTTTAGGTTTTTTATTGCTTTCAACTTTTGTTTCATACTTTCCCCTCTACTGAATTACTTCATTTTGATATTTTAATGTTTTTATTTTATGTCTTTGAAGTTTGCTTCTGGCTGTGCTGCTTTCAGCTTTCACCAATTTGTTAGTTCTTCTGACAGTCCATAATAAAGTCAATATTTTCCACCAATACCATAATTCAAAGGCATCAGTTCTTCTTTGGTCTTCCTTATTCATGCATGTGAGGTTTTTGAAAATACCATGATTTGGGTCAAGTGTCCTTCTTCCTCAAAGTAACTTGCTTGCTTTTGAACACTTTGAAAAGAGGTCTTTTGCAGCAGATTGACCCATTGCAATGTCATTTGATTGCTTGATTATTTCCATGAGTGTTGACTGTGGCAAAAGTAAAATGAAATCCTTGACCATTTTGATCTTTCTGATTATCCTGATGTTGACTATTGGTCCAATTGTGCGATTTTTTTCCTTAATAGTTTTATTGGCATGTGATTCACACACATATCATACAATTTTTAAAAGTGTAATCCATACTGAAGACGGTAGTCTCTGATCTTCATTAGTAAGTGCTTCAGACCCTCTTTGCTTTCACAGCTATCTGTTAATGAGTTTTCCTTCAGTTCTGACGCTCCGTTCTTCTTGTAGCCTGGCTTCTCAGATTATGACCGAATAAGTATGGTGAAAGGATACAACCCACATGCACGTCTTTCCTGATTTTAAACTCAAGCCATTTAGCGTCCCCTTGTTCTATTTGAATGATATATTAGGAATCAGCTGTTCTGCTCGCTAATACCTGTCAACATTTTCAGAAAGGTATTGTCAACTACCTTTCTACAAACTCTTTTTACTGTGTTTTAAGTTTCCCCAACCTAGCCTCTCAATCTAGTAATCCAGTCAAGAAAGGAAGGGAATTACAGTTTTGATATGTATTGTTCTGGTGAAACCTTGCTGTTTTTCTAGTGGACACAGATTTCTCTAATTACTCAAGTGCCACTGACTGGCAGTCTCTGGAATTGGTTGAAATTTGCTTCCAGCTTTACTGCTTTTTTTTTTTTTTTTTGGCCCCTTTTGCTGCCTGGTCCCATGACCCCACACTTTTTCTTAGTGAAGATAATCCAAAACCCACTGCCTTCAAGTTGATTTTGACTCATACCCTGTACAGGGTAGAACTGCTCCATAAAGTTCCAATACTGGAAAGGTTTTACAGGAGCAGGCAGTCTCCTTGTTCTCCAGTGGAGGGGCTATTGGGTCTGAACCTCTGTGCTTAAAATGGGGCTTCTTATTAGAGACATGACCTTCAAATACCCTTCTAATTCTCCATGACTTCTCAGAAATCACCAACATAGATTTTAAGATGGTACTTGCTAGTGTTTAGGAATCCAGGAATTAAATTTTCTGAATCTGGAGATAGGGTTTTTTCTTCCATCCCCACCCTCTACCCCCAAGTTAGGCTGCTTCTTTCATCATCTGGTTTAGTTTTTCCATGCTTGCCAAAACACTTCACTGCTTTGACCCATTGCCTTCCATTTCACCTGCCTGGAGAAAACTGCAGCCATGGTCTGCCTGATGTGCCTTCATCTCACTTACCCATGTGATGCTCAGCCTTTTTGGTAAGAATCATTGGGGGTGAGGTGATTGGTGCCCCTAAAAATTCATTGTCTCCAGCTTCAATTATTGTGGGGACCAGCCTCCACAGTTGTATGGGTCTAGGTGGCCGGGGGTGGGGTGGGAGGGGGGTGCTTGTACAATTGAAGGGTAAATATAAGGAAACCTTAGACAAGACATGCAAGTGCTCACCTTTCCCATGGTGGCCTAACCTTGGTCATCTCTGAGCTGGATTGACTTTATGTGTCCCTGAGCCCTTCTCCATGGGAACAATCTATGATCCTTATCAGAAGGGAATAGGCCATACTTAGAATTGGATGATTTGATTGCTTTTGATGGCAGATAACCTACAGGTAGATAGCCTTCAAGCAGGTAACCTTCCAGAGTATAGTAAGCAATGCAAGCAGCACCTTAAAAGTGACATTACTATGGTGGGGACATCGTGGGGAATAACTTTTACTTAGAAGAATATGGTGGGATCGATGTCCAACCCACAAATGCGAAGGCCTCCCTCCACCAGAATCTGCCTCCCAGACTCTTAATTATGAGCATAGGAATGTGCCTGCATACAGTCTTCCCAGTTCTCAGTTTCCCACAAATTAGACCTGACTTATCCAGCACTGTCCTGTTCCCCCTAGTCATGTTTTTTTCTTTTTCAGTAATCCTCTAACGCATCAGTATCCCGATTGATTTCGTGATAAAACCCAAACTTCTGAGAATGGTTTACAGGTCTCCCCACCTTCTCCTCCCGTGACTTTCCTACAACCCTCTGCTCCAGTCAAGCCGAGCAAATTTCTCCTTAGATCCCTGGTTTGAACACTGCCTTTCTATTCCCTCCCCTGCTGTGCACCTACTTATTACTCATTTCTCAGATTAGATCTCACTTCTGCCAGGAAGCCATACAGCCACTTTTCTCATCTCTGAGCTGAGTGGATGTTCCACCGTTTTATTCTCATAAAACTCATTAAAAAAAAGATTGATTCCCATTATGGCACTGATCACACAGGATTGTCATTTGATGTTTCTTTGTCTAGCCTAACTTTGGAAGCTGTTTGAGAGCAGAAGTCATATATTATTAGCCCCTAGCATGATGCTTGCTTAGTGAATGTTTGAGTAGTAATATGCTGAGTAATTTGTAAGTGAGAGACACTACCTCCTTCATTAAATAATTTCATCGCTGCCATGGTGGTGCTCCTGAGTAAGTGTTGGACTACTAACCGCAAGGTTGTTGGTTTAAACCCAAACCCATCTGATCCCATAAAGATTTATAGCTTCAGAACTCTACATAGTATCACTTAGAGTCTGAATTGACTCATCAGATATGGCTTGTTTTTTGTTTTTTTTTGGGGGGGGGTGTTGGGGAATAATTTTATCATCACAATTTGTCATTTAATAATTTTTATAATATCTGGGGGTGGGGAAGGAGGGGGGGAAAAGCGCTGATACCAGGGGCTCAAGTAGAAAGAAAATGTTTTGAGAATGATGATGGCAACAAATATACAGATGTGCTTGACACAATGGATGGATGGATGGATTGTGATAGGAGTTGTATGAGCCACCAATAAAATGATTAAAAATACTAATTTTTATAATAGCTTTATGAGGTAATACATCATTCTAGCAAGTGTCTGTTAACTTCTGTACTAGTTATCAGATTGTTCTCAGTTATCAACAAGACATACTGTT